CCTGTCCACCCTAAATTTTATCACTAACCTAGTATGCATTGCGAGTTTGGCAGCGATCAGTGAAGTTCGGTTCACTGTGTTTCGCCGGGCGATGATGATGAAGCACGAAAGTGCATGGTAATGGTTGTACAAACTTTGAACTGAAACTCATGCACCGTTTCATGCTCCCATTAGTTGATGCAGTTCGACCCTATCGAAGCGGGTACTCCTTCGACACACGGCCTCCACTGCAGTTGTTGGTAACACGTATTGAACTCCACGCATCATGCACTTAGCATTTGGGAACAGAAAAAGGTAACTATAGATTACATTTCAAGCTTTCCTTGCCCGGCCATCTGCACCTCGTACGTGTACTGTGTATTCGGAAACTTTTCGCTCAGCACTCGTAATCACTGGTTAGAAAAGCTTAATTATATTGCTGAGTGTCGTGAACAGTGGCTCCCGTGCATCACGATTTATCTGCAGCCTTCATTTTCTTTAATTCTCTTTTTCATCCTGAAACTGATTTGAAAATTCCAATCTCCCGTCCTTCCTCCAAAAGGGATGCCTTGAGGCAACAACTGAAAGCGGCCCACGAAAATGCATGGTTATGGTTGTTAAAACTGCAACTGATATTCCCCATTTGTGGTAATCAGCTAGATATATTGGAGGGCTTTACGTTCCTCGGGATCTTGGTCACAGCTGAAGGTGGTGTTGGAGAAAGGTTCACATTAAGAGTACCGAAAGCTGGAGCAGTTTTTTTCTAATCTGCGTTATCTGTGGCGCCTCCGTAACATCCAACTCCTTTAAGTTAAGGGTATACATCGCCGAGGTTCGTGGCATTTTGCTTACGGTTGGTAAACCTGACTTGTCCGAACTTGGGACGCCTATCGAATTTCTGTATTCAACCATGTGCTCGTGTCTGTTAGGAACATCATGTGTGACGAAATTCGTCGTCATGCGCTGGGTGCCCATTTTCTTGTTCTGATAGAAGTAATTGCTGTACACCACCTCCGGTGGCTTGGTCACGTTTTTGCGTATGCCTGCCCATCGTCTACCTTTACGTGCTCCGTTTACACGTACTGGGCAAAGCTGGAAGAAGCGTTGCGGCCTTCGGACCATGACCTGGCATGGAAGACATTAACCTCATCATTGTTTTCGGTTGGTGCAGCCCAGGTTAGAACCAAAAGGAGTATTTTCGCTGATTGGACACTCTGAAACGTATGGCTAAGAACAGAAGGCGTTGGAGCGAATACTGTGTGGTCTCCTTGTCGGAACTCCGTAAAAATTAACAAAGGTTAACAGAAAGTGTGCATTCTTGTTCGGAGTATTTCCTCTAATTCTTTTTTTCTACATAGATTACCAATTGAACCCAATTCATGCCTGTTCTGTTATTATTATTATTATTATTATTATTATTCTTATTATTATACTGTTTGCAATATACTTGTCCGTAAGGTGATTATACGTACATGGTCACATAATTTTCCTTTCCATCGCAGTGGGTAAGCTTCAAACGATCTTTCCCAAATTGGGACATTCTATGCTGATCGGATTGATTTGTTTAATGACCGCGCTGTAAATATAATGGTTGTGGCTTCTACAGTGTCCTATCGTGTTGTTTGATACGTGGTTGCACAATTTACGAGGCTGGGTATGTATATGTATATACATCACCGAATTGCAGGCAAGGATGGTGCCAACGCCAACACAGGGTGTTATTCGTTTATCTCCGGATTAGTCTTTTTTTGTTTTCCCGCTGCATATGCTGATGGAAACAAATCACTAACTTCTTATTTGTGCTTTCTACGTTCCTTCCAGACACTGGGCTTCACTCAGCCTGTAGTAACACATTTTTTCCGCTTCGAAGCTAATTCATTCGTTTCAAAAGTCTCCCCTGCTTTAAGGCTCAGTACACAGCAAAGTTCGAGAGAATATTTCTCAAAAAGCATTCCAATTCGCCACTTGACATTTGTTACATCAGTCAACCAACTCACGAATGAGACATGCGACTGAATGCCACCGCCGCGTCCTTGATATCGCAATGTCTTGATATATGGAGACATTTGAAATTGACACAGTATTCCGCCGTAACATGTTGAATTATCAACACTTATTCGAGTCCTCCGTTAATTTATCACAGTTTATCTCTGTTGCCATGTCTCATTTCTTTGTTCAATCGTTCATATCTCATGGTCAAAATAAAACAGAAAACAATTTATTTTTTATTGACTCAGGGACCTTGACAAATTCTTCTGATTTGAAGTGCGAAAAGGATTGCATTTTAGTTGATCATGCTACTGGTGGTTTGTCTTCGCCTTCATCCGGGACCAAATGCACTTCAGCCTCCAATTCCGTCCAACCGGTTTGTGTACCCGATGTGCGGTCTGNCTGCCTGGTCCAAGATTTTCCTGCTTCCCGAACGTCAGACGGTAGTCGACGCTTTGATGCGTGCCGTTCGGCGTCTTGTTGTGAGTAGTTTATATCAACTATTAGTTACACATCCACCGGATGGACTGGGTGAAGCGTCTTCATTTATGTCACCAGTCAGTTCTGCCGGCACAGGATCCGCAACAAGTACCGCTTTATCCAGTGACTCTATCACACTTCAGGGAACTCAGCAGCGGATTATCAACCTGTTCATTATTCTTTATGAATGTCCGTTCGCCACCGATCCGCTACATTTCGAGGTGAGTGAGTTCCAGTTCCACTTGAGTTCAACCAAAACTATTTGACCGTATCTTTTGTTAAAATGTACTCTTCTGTGGTGCCGATGTCGTTTGCTTAGTGAGATTTTCACTGCCCAGTTTAACTGGGAAATGTTTGTCCATTTCACGACTCTTTCTTCAATTCGTCTATCAATGAGAGTGTTGCAACGCAGTTGAACAATGAATCCTTCAATTTAAGCTCTTATCTTCAATTTAGTAAAGTCATCAAGTACTGCATCCTTAGATATGACCTTACATGACAATATGCTTATTTTTACTCTATTTCTCATCTGTACTTGGTTTGATTCGAGCTTACTATCCATTTTTCTTAGTGAATCCACAACCGGGACCCTCGGCTAACTAAACCCCGATCCGCAGGCCAGCGGGGCGCTTTCATCGTCACCATCATCATCGTACAGCGAAATACAAAGAAGGGAACTTCCCTGATCGCTGCCAAACTCTCAATGCATATGCACTGGGGTCTGACGGACGGGTACTGCTAGGGTGTCCAATCACTAAGCGGGATAACTATTCGGGTTCTCAACCAAAGCGTTTAATTCTGACGAGAACCTAGCCGCAAGGCAGCGGGTGAAGCGAAGTGGAGACCTACTTACTTAGATCAATTACTCCTCCACTATTTTTTACCGAATGAAACACAAATTCTAGTCAAACCCCCAACCTGGAGGACCAGGAGGCTGAACTTCGTTCGACCTCTACCCTTTGACCTTTCAGGCATGATTAGATCTGAGGCTTGACAAAAGCCATCCTGTGTAGCTCGTTGGGTCACAGAGATGCACAAACCATCACACCTCGTCAAGGTGCAGTCTCGTCGAGGCGCTTTGTAAAAACCTTAATCCACTGGGGACCCTGCATCCGACGGAGTGCATTGTATACTGTCTCTGTTATGTGGTGGATATCCTCTATCTTCCGTACCGTCCGTTTTCACTTGTGTATTCTTGAGGACCTATGGTCAAACTTGTCAACGCTACACTTGGCTCCAGGATCGAAGCCGAGTTGCTAAACTAAATTCCAGACACTGGTCACCTGTGCGCAGTGGACATGGAATGTTATTGCAAAATAAGCAACTGTTGCTGGAATAGGCGCAACCTGTTCGTCGTTTGTGTACGCGTCTCTGCAGACTGTAACCCTAATACCTCGGAGGACTGCTTCTAAGGTTGCATGGAACCCTAGAATGTGCAGGTCAGTTAGTTGATTGCAAAGTAGGCATACATAGTTAGCCCTTCTGGTCTCGATTCTCTTCACAGACAGACTCTTAGCTCTATGCTCACGCCAATGTCTGTTTCCGTCCCACATACACTTCGGACATTCAAATCGGTGGCATGCCATTTTCCCCCTCATCATGATCAATACTAGACTTAACTAGTTCACATGGTAATCAGCCACTAGCGATGGAATGTTCTCAACTGGATCTCGTACTGATTAACTTGTTTGGACTCAATTTACGGGTTTGTTTTATCCGGTTTCTGGGTGCTACAATGAATGGTAAATACACTCGACTTACCAGCACTTCGACGATAGCAATCTACCATAACCTGTTTTTACTAACTTCTCAAAAGCTACAGATAGTCGTGAGGAGCAATTTAGATGAAATCTGAACGCTAATCCGAAACAAATTTACTTTAATGTTGGGCTGACTAACCAGTTCACGTATCTCTAGATCTGTATGAGCCGTTAAGAACCACTTGAAGCTTTCCGATCGATGTTTACTGTTAGCGAACATCACATGCGGTGTGCTCTTACTGCTAGTTCGCGCAGCAAACGCAATCCATGGTAGGGGGAAGTGTATCTGCACCCGGTAATACGAAGCCTGTTCCATCTCAGCCGAAATATCGGTGAGAGGTGGTAAGATTTCACTGAAACAACCTGTGATGCAGACTGTTCGCTCATCTACATCCACTGAAGGCATTTCGAACGCTAAACGGAGGGCACTTCTGAGTTCAATCTAACTGCTTCGCTGTGTCCAGTTACTCGTATAGTTCGAACAGAAGTACTCTGGTCTGTTTGAACAGAACAACCGTCAGAAAAGTAATTCACAACGAGAGGCCATACAATGCCAAACTCTCATAACCTTTCCTCAGTCTTATTTATAGAAGGTGGGATTGAATTGTCAATTCACTTGCGGCTCCATCACGACAAACACATTTATCCAAAGAGACTACTACTACTCTACGATAGTTCAAAGTGCTTCACTCTACGGTTGCGAACTCTCGCTCCTCCACATTAAAGATGCTCGACGGCTTTCAATATTCGATCCCCGCTATCGCGAATTATTTCCCGCGTCTGGTGGGACCATGGTGCTCGGAACGATGAGCGTTGACGACAAGTATTGGGTGTGTTGATCCTCGTCCGCAAGCGGCACTGATTATAAGAGCGACCTCCGATGGCCAAGGTGCCCAGTGCTTATGGCTGGCCGTCACCTAGCGTGCTGACAGTTATTTTCGTTTCACGAATGCGAAACCGTCGTGGTAGTCTATCCTTGATGTTTTGTTTTCACTTAGGCATGTGGATTTCATCCCCGTCTACTGTTCACACTAAGATGTGTAGGAGAAAAGATTCTAATTGTACTATGTTCGTAACAAGTAGTGTTTAATCCCGTGGTCAAACTTCACTCCATTTCCTGCTGCTGTTTGTAAGGACCAGGACAGTGTATAATCCATATGTAATTATGTTACTCGTGAGACATGGCCTTCACATTACAAGTATATTCAACTTTCGTACCTACCTATCGATAGCCATGGATCCATAGCATTTATTCCGACATTTATCTCCCCTTGCGATGTCCTTGATTCTGTTGTTTCACCGTTTGAATTGATGTGATCTTAAATATCACTACAAAATTTGTAGTAGTTCGAAAGTTGCATCTCAAAGTGAGAAAATATTTGGCACAGAGCAGCAGCATAGAATGCCACTCTTTCTAATAAATCATTACTGTTTCATGGAGATCTTCATTCTGATCAATCCAAGTATTCGGAATAGCACATCATCTTACGTACGATAGAAAATAAACACCCCAATAAATGATGATTTTTAACCTCAAATAGAAAATGAAAAAATTATATGACTGCAGCCCACGTAAAGTTGCTCATCATGAAGGGAATGTCAATATATTCCAACAGTCACTAACACACACGCATATTCGAATTACCCTATAGTTCTACACGTTGTCGTCATCCTGTCGCCTTATAATTGCTTGTAACCTTTAGGTTGACTGATTAAACGATTTGAGAGGGTTGAAACGTTGTTACCCACACCTTGTTTTGTTGTCGTTCACCCTGGCTAAGATAAGCTAATTTCCTCACTATTCGAAGAAACTTCAAAATGGATCTCTAAAAGTTTACCTTGAGATTTGCGGCTCGCCAAATAAGCGTTTCGTTATGCCACCACGCCCAAACCCGTTGAAAAATCCAGGAGTTTTCGACGTACAAGTGAACATTTGAGTCAGCGTATTAAAGTGGCGCATGAATCTGGTGTCGCAGACCCTGACTATCGCTAATTATTCGATGTGGACATAAGCACAATTTGATCATCTAATTGAGGGAACGTCTCCAGCAAGATAGCAGTGCGGACGGAAAAGAGCTGACCATGTCGAATCAAGACAATGATTACATTTGGTTTCAGCTGAGAAAAGCGGCAAACAATCAATCTCGAGGATGACCCGAGCGGATAAGACACAATTTTTTATGACACCATTCGGAACAGGTGGCTAACTGTCAATTACAACTGAGAGCCACAATTGAACACCCAAAAAAGAATTTACTTTGCCAATAGATTCGAATCGCATCACTCATGCATTTGACGTTCCGTTTATCCTATTTTCGAATTTCTGGGGGCTAGTGCGCAATAGTTCAGGCGGAGAAAGGTGATCTGTGTACATAGTTGTCCGAAAAATTGAAGTCCACTGGTCACAAAATATAATCATTGTCCCCACCTGATGAATAAGGTAAGAATTAAATATGGAGCACTTTGTGGTTGATCTCCCGCGCATGACAACCTGGATAGTGGGCAACTTGGTTCACTCATTAAGCAGACTTTTGTCGACCCTCCTGCTGGAAGTGTATCCGTAGAAGTCACTTTTTCCCAAGAGTATTCTCCCACACGCGGTTTACCGTAGCCGTCTTTGTACCTCATCATATAATGTTTTCTCCTGTTTATATCATTGCTGGATTGGCAAAATTTAAGGCTGAACCCATTCGGTCCTGAATGCACTTGAAAACTTTTTCTCTCTGTTGAAGACAGAGCTAAGTTGAAAGTGGACGTTAAATTTCAGAGTGTGGTGTGTACAGGAAACTGAAAAAAGTATGTGAATGGCAAGCTGGTGAAATTGATGCCAAACAGACTTCTTGCAATGCTCAAGAAGGAAGTGAGAGTATTGAGAAATAACTGTACAACATTTGTGTTGTGTCTATCCATCATTTTCATGAATACATTTAATTTTCTCGACGGATGCTCAGTTCACTGCAACCTATGCAAGAAATCCTACTTTATACGGCATTAAGCTAGAAGTAGCAATCATATGAGTGGATACTCTTATAGAAATGTAATGTTTGGTGTGTTTGAACACTACCGTGCGCATTGGCGTGCGCGAAGTTCAAAACATTCAAAACAGTTCTGAATCCCCTCGAAATACACTGGCAGATTGATTCCGGGCAACGCAATCCTAGTTCTTATACAATTAGCGTCTTCACAAAAGGCCGCATAATCCCTGGCCACTCACTGACGTTCTCAGTACACAGGTAGGACACACTTCTCACAGGAAGTTCTCCGTGGACGGGGCTTGCAAACAACCTGCAAGACATGGAAAATACAAAAAGCAACCATGAACCAAAAGATCCAGTGAGACATGCACACGACTCAATGAGATCGAAATGGTTGCAACCGTGCCTTAACTACAGAGGTATTGACATGAAGAGATTTAGTGAAGTTCATGGTGTCGCACGAGTTTAGTCAACACCTGCACTTTCCTGACAAGTAGTTGTGGACTCCTGGCGACGCATCGCGTTGAAGACTACTCATTGCTACTAGTTAGTTTCACCATGATGATTGAGAAATTTCTGCGGGAATAATTGTTGTGATCAATAATCATTCATCAGTTAAATATTTACTACCGATCGCTTGTTGTTTACATTGTTCATTTTTATAATGGCATATCGAAACTGGTTCATCGCGTTCATAGACGCATCGTTACATCACGTGATACCGTTTTCTCGTGGTTAAGAAGGCGGTTCATCATGTTGTACTCTTTCGGTAAACTGGTGTCGACTAATGTGGTTCTGTAGCTAGGTATAATATAAATAATAGTCTACTGTGTGGTGTGTTCTCTTCCTATGCTAAGTCTCACGAAACCCGTATAGAATCAAATTCTACTGTCTCTGCTCTGTCCGTCTAATAGATGCAGGTTCATCTATGTCTGATGGGACGTAGAATATTTCGCACTGAATGGACTCCTTCACATGGAATTTAGTGCTTTGTTCCACTTTTATTCTAGGTACATTGTTTTAGATTTATCTGAACAATTTTAGAGTGTCGCTTATTCTAGTTTAAGTTATGTTAAACATAGATCCCGCAGTATCATATTGATGACTTTCTTCAATGCATCGAGGAAGTACCCCTGTCATCTTCAAAATGCATTCAAACATTTTGTTTGTTTGGTAGTTGCTTTCGTTGAGCTTTTTTCTTCCAGTGGATGTACTACATAAGAGCCCTTTTTATGATCTTCCTGTTTTTTTCCGAACACTTATGTCATATGTTTCTCCTTGAATCACAGCATCTTCTACTGAATATCAATCGTGCAGCCACTTGGCTCCCAGAGATATTGCAAGCACAATTGTGCCGCGCCTGGGCAGAAAGTGTACGATTACCGCTGGCCAATTCAACGGTGCCTCCAGCTCCGGAACAAACCAATTTGTGGTCGTTGCAACGAATACTCTTGCATCATATCACTTTACGATGTCTAACCACTGACTACAGTGCACCTAATGAGGACAAACAGATTTGTGAAGCCGCGCTTGTATTGCGCATGGTTTACTATGCTAGCCTCCTAGCTGGTCAAATGGATTCGCCCGAACTATTAGCCCAAGAAGAGTTGGAAAACCGCGAGTTTCAATCTCAGTTGCAGTCGATTCGAAACAATGTGAGTTTTGCCGACCCATATCGCACGTGATAACCCCCTGACTAATCCTACCCTGTCTTCATTTAGTCCTGTCTACACTACTCGATTATGTTAGTCATCGTTTGACTCAGAGTTGTGGACGAACTACATTCTACGTACATATCCAGACTTGTTTGACGATTGTTGATCCCGGATTGATGTGCAGTGCTTCTATGTTCCCATAAATCCGAATGCCCCACGTTCAAACCAACTGCTTTTTGGTGTTAATTTGCATCATTGTAACACTATCCCACCCTGTTCATTTCTGGCCGAGATTTGTCTCCTCGGTAATTGGTACCTGTTTCAGTAAGAACGTGAATTCGAGCCCTTCAATGGCTTTTGCTAACCGAGAAATCTGGATGCCCCGCATTACTTAGGTCACCTTTTTTTTGCAAATCATGTGAATTACCGTAAAAGAGGAAATCCCCATAGTCAAACAGCATATTGCGAAAGTGAGAGCAGAGGAACATTTACGTACGTTCCGGTGAAAAGTTATAGAAAAAGTTATAGGCGATCGAAATAATGAAACAGGGTCTGTGCAATGCAGTTGGGTGGAATCAAAAGATATGTACTTCAATGAAATTGAAAGCAGTGAGGTTTTGGGATCGTTGAATACCACACGATTGACATAGCCCCATGAGATATGTTCGATATCAGAGGCCGGTGACATTAACTGTATTACGGTCACGATCGACGTTGGCTTGTTCATGGAGAATGGTGAGGTAGGAGACGGAGCAGTGAAAGGTGGCATCCTAAACAAAAGATTGGATTGGTTGAGAGTTTTGAAAAGGAGGTTATTGATTGATCGGTTGATTGACTGAAATAGAACCCCATCAACTCGGACGGAGATGATTCGCTAACTGAGGAAACTTTATATCCACCTAACTTAAGCCGAAGGGAACCCGAACATGGACAGTTTCCTCACTATACATTCGTGCCTAATTGGGTCGAAATCTTTTGGGATAAGTAAGACCAAGTGCATTTCGCAGTGGTTTTCGATTGCAGCTGATCGGGGTTATGAGACAACAACCAGAAGGTCACCGGTAGATCGAAGTTTTCGGCGGTCGCTCCGCTATTCTTCACGTTCGAGGAACGCTCGCAATTGGTTGGAGATGTTGGTTTCAGATACTTGCCAAAGAACAGGTGTCAGCTTCGGTTGGTGCAACCATTTACCATGTGCCCGTTTTGTTTGCTCTCTTTTGGTTGCCCATTTGGATGAAGGAGTAGGACAAAGATAGAAAGGTTGAAAGAATAATTGAATAGAGAATGGAGAATTCCACTAGATTGGGGTTGCGAAGAAATTGATAAAATGCACAATCGCTACTGTGTACAATACATCCATATCATTCAGAATCTTGAATCATTGATTAGAGTGATTCCGAGGTTCTCATACAGTTAAACGTGACCTATGTGATCGAGTCTCCTGGTTAGTGTTTTCACCCCCTCTTGCCTGATCTTGTTTTGACCACCTTTGGCTTTTTTTCATTCACTGTCTCCCTCGACAGACCTATTTGGTAACACATGCCCCAACTAGTGTAATCTATGGAGTTCGATCACTTGCTTTAGTGGGCAACCGCGGTTACCTAAAACTGCGCCTAACCTCAGCATTGTTCCTCCGGTCGCCCCACCGGATTTCGTGCAGAGCTGCGTCGACAGCGGTGTTTGTTAATGGTCAAGCAAACCTCGTGAAACTGCTGCAGCATACACTCGACTCTTCACAGGCAGCCGGATGTCGTGACGGCGTCGTAGATATCTCAAGTTGGCAAACGTCAATCTAGTTGTCCTCATCCGTGACGTATCCGCAGGGTGATGGCGACCATTACCAGTAGCCTCCACTTTCTGGATATTCGTTGTCCGTCCGTATGTGGTAATCCGTACTGAACCGTCGAGACGTACAGCGCACAGTAGGCTACTAACTGGAATCCAGAGACGAGCGCTCATCTTTAGCACATAGTGCAATCTCAACACCGTGAGCTTCAGACACACGAAGGGTGAAGCGTGAGTATGGGGTTGGATTTGAGAAACGCAAGGCGATAATGGATATAGGTCTTCTATGCATGTTTTGGAGACTCAGCTTACATATAAATGGAAGGTTTCAAGGGTATGCTGATCGATCTGGAAAGTAGGAGGGGCAGAAATTACGGGAAATATCTTTGGTAATTGATGAAAATGTTCAGCTACCGGTAGCGGACGAGACAACGTGTTCGGATTTAAGGCGAACCAACTGTTCTTTTGTTTTCGGAATGATTGTCGAGCTCCTGTTGCTAGCCTACACAAAGCGATGGTGAGAGTTGCGCGTTGGTGCTCAGCCCCAGCGTAGGAAGATTGAGCGTTTTAGGTGTACAGCACGATCACGTGCGAGGTTAAACCACTCGAGGAGTTGGGGTTTGCCGGGTTTGAATAATTGTGGAATAATAAGATGCATCCCTTGACGAACAATGCCGGTGATGTTGGAAACATATTTGAAAACGTCCGGAATGAAACAGCAATCTTTCCAAGGACAAGGAGCTAGGAAATAAGGAGAACCGTCTCTGGTGACTCAGATGAAGCGCCGAGCTGTCTTTAATTGGGTGCTGGATCGGGTCTAGTAAACCTGATGGAGCATGAAGCAATGCAGCGAAATGTTGAGCGAAGTGGAGAAAAATTGGAAGTGTCTAAGAAGAAAGGTCTGAATTGAGGACGAGATCGAGGGTATGGTCGCAGTCGCCAGCTGGATCAAGATCAACCATGATCCTGAGAGTTGGAGTGGTGAACCGCATAAGACAACAAATCAAGGTTGCTATTGAGCTGGGCGATTGCGGAGGCGTCTATTACCTTCATTATGGTCCTCATTATTTCGTTTCTTGGGCACTGATTAAAGAAGGCGTTGATTCTTGACTATCGACTACATACCGCAGAGTTCTTCGCGCGTAACCTTTCTGCGTACTATTTCAATGTCGATGCGACTCCCTCCATATCCCCTAATCAATCCACCACACATTTGTCTTTATAAACTTTTACGGATAACCGGATACTGGTATTGGTAGCTACGTGCGTCAACAGTATAGGGAACGATCATTGAAGATTAACACTAGTATGACGAAATTGTTTACCTAGTGGTTCAGAGGAAACCAGGCTCTAATCTAAAAAGATTTTGCCTCTACTGTTCTTAGCACCGAGAGAGAAAACTCACAAAAAAATTTGGTCTAATCTCCCAATTGAAAATGGTCGATAACACTGTTATAGAGGCGAAGATCACCCGCGGGTTTATGGTCTGTTCGGATGAAAAATTAAGCATCTGGTTACTAAGTACATGGATATTCCAGTCTAATCATTCACTAGAAACATTAGGTGACGTGACCAAGTGTGATAAACAATAATGCTATTCGTTTGCTCACTTTCGCTTCACACGTAGTTCACCACCATCACGGCTTTTGCTCCACTGACTACTCTCAATCTTTCGTTTAGTTGTCATTTTTTTCCTCTTCATTGATCGACTAAATAAGCACTTCAAAAACGTTAACAGAAACCGATCCCGGGATTACCAGAGTAGTTGTTATAGAAGCTGAAATGGAATGGTTTGTTATTCAGTGATATCAGTCAACTTAGTTACTACT